AACGTACACCGCAGACCCGCCCACCTGCAAAGACTTCAGCACGGTGTTGCTCACACGCAGCTGCGTCTGCAACAGCGACGTCGCGTGCAGCACAAGCGGTGACGCCACCGCGTCCGTCAGCCCGCTCAGCTGCGAGTAGTGCATCGGCCCCGCCGTAACAATCGTCGAGTCACGGACCGTCACGTTCGTGTGTGCCGGCAGGTTGTGCACAAACACAAGCGAGCAGTAGCTCCCGGACAGCCCGCTCACGCTCACCTCCAGGCTCCGGTCACTCGCCGGCTCGCCGCTGTAGCCCCGCACGTAGATCTGCGCACCGCCGTCGCACACGCAGTTCCTCAATTCGATGCGCAGCGCGCCGGGAAGCATCGCCGCGACGTCGAACACCACAGCCACGCCGTTCGTGATGAACACGCCGTCCATCAGCACCGTGTCCACGGCGTGGCCAACCGTGATGGCTCTGTCCACCGTGCCGCCCCGCAGTCGCAACACCACCGCATGCGCCGCGGGCATCCACGCCGCCGCCGCCGCAACCAGCGCCAACAAAACGAGCAGCGCCACACGCACAGCCGCAGTGGCCCTGCGCCGCACACGGTGACGGCTGTGCGGACACGCACCCACCGCAGACCGCATCCACCGATCCAATCAGGTATCAACAGGGCTCTCGTGGTGTGTCGCACTCGCCCCGTCGACCGTAACTCCTGCCTAGCAAATCCTTTTCTACAGATGGAAAATCCAGAAACACAATTCCGCCAGATCGTTATTCAAATAATACTAATACTACTAATACTGCAAGTAATTCCTAATACCTTGAAACGATAGTTGTGCTGTTCAAACCAAAGTATCCCTAATTGCACAGTCAGAAAAGGAAAAGGCAGCAACAACAGCAAATAAACACAGGGGCACGCAGAAGCATCCGGTCACAGACAGTCCCCATCACAGCAAAACCACCGAAGCAAAGCCGTGGAGATGCAATCACTTCAGTGAAACCATCGCTCTCCCCTCATCGGCCAGCACCGCTCAAAATCGCGCCGCGGATTGGCTGTGAAGTAACAGCAATTGTGCAGTATAAACGGAACAGCATCAAAATTTCATTCTACAGCTGCCCCAAACTTATGTACTC